CTACTATCTTCCAGGCATTCTTGTGGCTCACTATCTCCAGTCTATCACACCAGCACTGGCTCTGGGGGGAGAGCTGGTGTATCACAGGAGACCAGGGGAGGAAGGAACAGTCACCTCCCTCTTGGGCAGGTACACAGGTAAGCTGAGCTTTCATACTGCCAACTGCAAGACTACTTGGTGTGCAAATTTTACATATTTTTTCACTGGCTGCTTTATTAAGTTTATCATTTAATAGTAGTAGTAGTTTGATGGGGATTTAGTAGTATTTTTTTTTTGTCTCCACAGGTGAAAACTATGTTGCTACGTTGACTTTGGGTGGAGCAGGAGCTCATGCTACATACTATCACAAAGCCAATGACCAGGTACCTAACATCAGTACGTGTGTGTGTGTGTGTGTGTGTGTGTGAATGCTTTTTATTGCACCACTCAAATACATTCTTTTTTATTTAACTTTAACATATTAGCTTACAGGATGGACTCACAGTTTTTCAAGTTTGTCTTAAAGATCCCATATGGTGAAAGTCTATTTCAATGATTGTGTTTTGTGGTTGTTATAAACTTGGAGATGTGACGTAAAAGGTGTTACGATATTAAGACCTTCACTTCACTTCTGCCATTCCTTAAGCCTCCCACAACTAGATAGCCTCCCAGCTTTACAAGCCAGTAAGAATTTTACTGGGTGCTACATTCCAACTGAGGAACCGATTTGCATAGACTTTGCATAATCCTTCGTCTTCACTGCCTGCTGTTTGCAAGGCGAGCCATTCAGCGTAAGCAACTACCTCATAATACACCAGGTTTAATTACACTCCAGAGCTGATAGTGCTAACTGTAAAATGCCTCTACCATGAGAAAATCAAATGTTCTGTTGTTTGCTGCAAGAGTGAACACAAGCGTGTTCATGCATCCCAGCATCTAAAGAACTAAAGATCCAGTGGATTGCTTTATTTTTCTCCATGCACACAGATGCTGCATTTTAATATGGTTAAACAAACCCCAGTAAATATGTTCTTGTTTGTTTCAGTTGTCAGACGATATGAGTACAAAATAGTGACTGAAACGCAGCCCATTAAGACGACACATGAATCTGCATTCACTTGCGGACCGTTTCCAAGCTTTGTGCTAAAATACTGATTTTATAGTCACGGCATAGTCTGACAAACTCACCATATGCATGAGTTAAAGACAACGGCTGTGCTGTGAATTTAGTGATATTTTCACGTAGGATTATTACTCATAAAGAAAGCAGTAAAAAGTCGTGGTCTCAGACACACATTCATGTCTGTGTTGGCTGCCATGTGGTCATCTATGAGAGTCAACAGACAGTTGTCTTCCTGGAGGAGCTGTGGACAGTAACAGCTCAGGTGCATTGAAGAAAACTGTTTAGAGCAGATCTAAAACCAGGCTTTGTATAGTCATGGTAGAATGAGCCATCTTTGCAGGATTTTGAGCTGAAAAACTTACCTCATTAATTTGCTGAAAAGTAGAACAATGTGGGATCTTTAGAACAATACTTGCATGTTCCTTGTATTTACATCAGAACATTTGTTTTGGTTGTTGTAATTGTTTCTCCGGTTTGTGCTGAAGTTCAAGAGGTTCTTTCTAAAAACAATGAAGAAGACTAGTGTGGGATCATGTTATCCACTTTATCTGTGTAACTCAGATTGCTAACCCTACAAGCTCCAGCTTAGCTATGGAACTGGTTATTGCACCTGAAGGGTTTTTCTCTGTTGTCTAACACTGGTGGAATCTTGTGAGGGAGAGATGTGTTTATGGACAGGAGAGAAAAATGATGGTGACCAAACTTTTCTTCAATGTGCATACGTTGTATTAATACAGGCTTTCCTCTTTGATTATTTAACTTTTGCCTTTTTTTTACAGTTGCAGATAGGAGTTGAATTTGAATCCAGCACTAGGATGCAAGACACTACAACATCCTTTGGTTACCAATTGGACCTCCCCAAAGCTAACTTGCTCTTTAAAGGTAAACACATACAATATGAATACACCTATAGCCACATAGAGGTTATTCATATGAAGATTACAACATAAATACAGAATTTCTTCTAGTTTTTGCCTTCAACCTTTTCCCCTTTCCTCTCTGCAGGTACAGTCGACAGTAATTGGGTTGTTGGAGCAACCCTTGAGAAAAAACTGCTGCCGCTGCCTCTTACACTGGCCCTAGGCGCTTTCCTCAACCACCGCAAGAACAAGTTCCAGTGTGGCTTTGGTGTCACCATTGGCTAGAGGTGCAGGGCCTACGTGGAACCAGCTCGCAGGCCAAAGCTTGGACCGGCACAGAGACAACACAGGAACCTGGACTAAGTTTTAGAAATTGGATTCAGAGACTGTCTTTCTGGGGCAGACAGAAGGACAAAGACAACTACCAAGGAGCCAGGACTGGCCAAGCCATGCCTACATACTGTAGCACAAATGTCTTTCCTTCATGGTGTATTGGAGATACCCAGAGGCTAGAGAGATGTTTATCAGAGGGCATCAGGTGACGCATGAGAACATGTGATGTGAAAATCAAAGTAAGTGGTGAGACATAATATATGGTGATCATGTATGGATTGAAATAAATGTGATTACTTTTTGTACTACTGGATGTGGTGATTGTTTGTAGAACAGCTGGGCATGGGGTGTGGACATCGTCTGTAACAAGCCATCTAACAGCGCTACACTTGTGAATAGAAAGTCTTTGTTTAGACTGTCAGAGAGATGCAGATTTAATTCTGATCCGTTGTTTCCACCTTGCACAGAAAGTTCATGCAGTATCACACAAGATATGGCCTCAAACATCACCAAATGGGAAAGCAGGAATGATCAACATGCAGTCCAGATGCAGCAGGCAGCAGTTGTTGGACATTTAAACACCCATTCATTCATTAACAACCTCGACAAGACTTCCTCTAATGCAGTGCAGTTGTACTTCCTCCACACTTCCTGTTACACAGATTGCTAATTGAAGTATATGAATTCTTGTCAGGACAGGGACATACAAATTAGTATGAGTATCTTGGATGGGAGCTAATCCGCAGTCTCATCGTGCTCCAGGAGTTTGGGATTAACCAACCTGCAATAGATAATCCAAATACTGACAAATACAGTGTCGATAAAAAGTATTCACCCCTGTTTGAAGTTTCCCCCCTATCTTTGCTTTTCTACACTGAATTGTGAACAATTTAGTTTGGCTTTTCTGATAAGAATTTACAAAGAAGAAAGGATTTCATGTCAAGTAAAAACAGATTTATACAAAGTAAGGTCTATTATCCATCCATCTATTAACTATACAACACTTAGTCCTCACTAGGATCAGGGGTGCTGAAGTCTATCCCAACTGATTTAGGGCAAAGGCAGGGGACATCCTGGACAGGTCGCCAGACTATCGCAGGGCTACACAGAGACAGAGGAACAAGCACACTTTTTTGGGCTGTGGGAGGAAGCCAGAGCACCCAGTGAGAACCCAAGCTGCACTGGGAGAGCACGCAAACTCCACCCAGATAGATCCCAGACCCAGGCTGGGATGTGAATCAGGCGTCTTCTAGCTGTGAGACACTGGTGCTAACTAACGAGCCACTGTGCAGCCCAATGTCAGTCAATATTCAACACAGGTGAGGTCAATGGGTGCTAGAAGTCACGCAATTAGTGGAATGGATGTCTGAGTGTATTGAACTGTAAAGAAAACTGCATCTCGAAGGTCCTTGGCCACAGGTGAGTCAGTACTCCTGGCTGTAAGTACACCGTGACAAAGAAAAAGAACATCCCAAGTAACTCTGTGTAAAGGTTGTTGAAAAGCAGAAGTCAGGCGATGGATAAAAGACAATGTCCCAGTCACTGAATATCTCATGGGAATACATCAATAACAAATGAAAAGAATATGGCACATGTGTAAATCTGCTCAAAAACCTAGTGACCAGTCAAGAAAGAGACGAGTGACTCTCAAAGCAAACGTTCATTCAGCTTTTCCCACGATGCACTATTGTAATTCCTGTGGGCATACAGCTGTTGTCTCTGCAGCTGGTTCAAAATGCAAATGCCCATCTGGTAACAGAAAACGAAACGTGACCACATAATTACATAGATTTTCAGATTTCATTGTTTGTTGTTGAGTTGGTAAATGGGCTGGCTGACCCTACTTAGCAAACCTCTTACACCCCAGTTAGAGGTCAGTCAACCAGATGGATGTTCTGAGATGCTCGCACGAAAATAGAGTTGATGCCT